GTTGGTAACACTGTATTCTCTGCCATTTGCTCGGTTGTAATTTTATGTAAAGTGCGTGTGATAAGAAAAACTCCTAATTTTATTTAATTAACAAGTTTTCAGTCTACATTAGAGTGTCTTTCCTGTGCCTAGAATAACTGAGTAAGTAGGCTTTGCAAATATGTATAAAAACATAAAGATAGCAAGTGCATATGGGCGCGGTTTGCAAAAATTACATTGCTATAATTCTAACTTTCAATGGTAGGATGCCATCTTTCACTTATAAAATTCTGTCTCTTCTGTAGACATCTTTATTGTAGACTTAGTATCTACAGAAGGGAGCATACCTCCCTTCTCAACAGAAGTGAATAATGAATGAACTTTCACTAATTTTTTACTCGTTTTTTACTGCTTTATAAATAAGAAAGGTTCATCTCAATCACAATTTCATTTTTATTTATTCATTTTAGTCACATTGGGTAACCGTTCAAGATCTGATGATGACTTTTGAAGTAAATAAATGAGTATTATATTATTTTAAGTAATACAATAGAAGCGTTTGAAACACTTATAGAAGATATTAGAAAGAACTGAACAACAACAATTCAACAGAAAACTTCAGGAACGGAAGACTTCAAAAACTAAAGGCAAACGAAAAGTAAAGACTAAAAAGGAAAAAATAACTATTATTGGTCATACGTACTTATAGCTTACACACCCACTGATATGTTAGAAGTCGGTGCCACAAACCCAACCCAAAATATAAAGTGGTTAATGGTCACAGCCGGTATAATCCATAATAAAATTGCGCTTAATAATGTTAGGTATCTATTAAGGTTTTAATGAATGATTTTGTGTAAAACTTGTGGCACCGACTTCTAACCTATCAGTGGGTGTGTAGTGGATGTGTGAGCTATAAGTACGTATGACCAATAATAGTATTTAGCTTCTGAAGTCGGTTTTTTTAAACGCAGTTTTTATTATAATTATTTGTAAAAATATTTGTAATGTTCACTTTTTGTGTATGACCCAAACCCAACAAGAATATGGTAGTGTACCTATTTTTTGTTGAGGGGTTTTCTTCTTCCGCCCGGGTGAGCCAACAGGGAGTGTCAGTCTCTTACTGACTAAAAACTACTCCTGCACTTCGAATCGGAATCCCGGGAACCCGTTAAGGCCTCCGCGGCTCCGAAAAGATGTATTACATCTGCGGTTTTGTTCTCAGATAGCTAGATATTTATAGTTGTCATACTTCTTTTAGCTTCCGCCAGTGGTAAGTGTCGGGTTAAAGAGTATCCTGTTTTATGTCTATAAAGCATGGTTATGAATTCTATTAGATCCGTTTAGTCGGTTTAGTAGTCTCGTAAATAGTAACGAGCACTAGACAATACAAACTAGAACACGAACAATAGAAAGTTAAGACTCGTTATCACAATATAGTATGTAATTATATGTGCATATTTAAGACTCAATACGATAACTATTTATATAGCGTCTTCGCCATGTTGAAGACAGGGACCTGTCGATATTGTGGATGACATCTCTCTTATAGATAGCGGTGACAGGGAAACAACGCGACTTTTCGTTGTTGCTTGCGTTATTGAGCAATACCCTTTTGCGGAGTTAGTGATCTTAGGAGATTTCAACGCCCACCACACCGAATGGCTTAATTCTAGGTCCACTGACTACGCTGAGAGGTGTGCTCACGAATTCGCTCCGGCCTATGGTTTATCTCAGCTGGTACATTCTCCAACAAGAATACCTGACATTGAGAACCATATGAGTTCCACATTGGAATTTCTGCTGACTCAACGTCCGGATGGATATTCCATATCAGTGGATGCACCACTCGGATCTTCCGACCACTGTCTTATCCGGACTCTAGCACCATGCGCACGCCAGAATCCACCTCGACCAACTAACTTGCGGCGCATGTGGCAGTATAAGTCAGCAGACTGGGATGGACTGCAGGAGTATTACGCATCGTACCCGTGGAGGCAGCTTTGTTTCACATCAGAGGAATCTGACACTTGCGCAGCTGCTGTCTCTGAGGGTATACTGACGGGTATGGAATACTTTATTCCAAACTAGCTGGTCGCTGCGGGGACGAAGAAACGACCGTGGTTTAATAGGTCCTGTAAAACTGCTAGACAACTCAAGCAAGTCACGTACAGGGCTTGGACCACGACTCGTAACAATCGCAATCCCGATCTTTCTATTGAGAAACGCGAACTTAATGCTGCCTTGAGGTCCACCAAAAGGAAAATTGCCAGAGCAAAATTCGATTTCATCGGCAGAATTAGCAAGAAGTTAACAGGTTATCCCTCTGGTAGTGTTGCCTTTTGGTCACTTGCTAAAGTTGCCGAAGGTAACTTCTGTCAGTCGTCCTTACCGGAACTGCAAAATGCCGATGCCAACCCGGCCCACAGTGCAAAACAGAAAGCCAATCTGTTAGGTACTCGCGGAGAACCTAACGGGTTACCGGGGCTCCGGTTCGGAGTGTTGTGCCCTGTTCTAACGCGTCTCTTCGCTCTTTCTTACCACACTAGGCAAGTACCGTCTTCACCGCCCACTTACGTGCATCCGGTGTCCAGAAAGGGCGATAGAACAGACCCGACGAATTACAGGCCTATCGCTATTATCTCCCTTCTTTCCAAGGTGATGGAGCGAGCAATCAATACCAAGCTCCTTCGATACCTAGAGCACCTAGCACGACCTGCTCAGTGACCGTCAATACGGTTCTCGCCGCAGTCATTGATAGGTTACCCACCCACTGATAGATTAAAAGTCGGTGCCGTCATCTATACTAATATTATAAAGAGGAAAGATTTGTTTGTTTGTTTATTTGTAATGAATAGGCTCCGAAACTACTGAACCGATTTCAAAAATTCTTTCACCTCTGGAAAGCTACATTATCCCCGAGTAACATAGGCTATATTATATTATAAAAATAATTAGGAATCTTTCCTAAAATTCCAATAATGTAACCCAAGGTGTAAAAAAATGACCTGAAAAATTCCTTACGTCGCGTGCGCTGCGAAAACTATTGTTGATAGAACAAAATCATTTACTACGGACTTTGCAGAACTCATCATTATCTACAAAAAGTGTCGCGACAGCATGTCTAAATATTATAGTTATGTCACAGTAAGCGGTTTTTTATTCTAAAAATTTAATTTATATGCCGCCGCTTGAAAAGGCTCTTTATTTGTACCTTGGTATTAATCCTTATCAAAATATATTACCTTATATTCAAGAAGACGGCTTCAATACCTTTTTATTCAATTCGGACATTTCATTCGGAAGATATCATGAGTTTAAAAATGCAAGTATTAGAAAAAAGTCGCGTGGTTGCCGCTCACCGCGCTCAGCTAGCCAGCATGAGATGGACTGATGAAAAAATATTCATTACAAAAAAATTCTAACTTCCTTTATAATTTTATTTTTTTTTTAAACCCGACGCAAAAAAGAAGGGTGTATGGGTGTGTGTGTATGTACCCGTGCGAAGCCGGGGCGGGCCGCTAGTGTTATATAACTTAATTCGAAGGTTTGGCCTTGGGACTTGTTAATAGTTAACGCGAAAGATGATTTGACCGGAAACTGAAGTCGTTTAAAAGGGATTGGCAGATCAGTTGCGATCATCGGTATCCTCGGTATATGAGCTAGTTGACCAGCCGGCACGTTATTTTATTACATTGACTCCCCACCGTACGGTGCCAGTTGCATTTTTAAACTCGTGATATCTTCCGAATGAAATGTCCGAATTGAATAAAAAGGTATTGAAGCCGTCTTCTTGAATATAAGGTAATTTATTTTGATAAGGATTAATACCAAGGTACAAATAAAGAGCCTTTTCAAGCGGCGGCATATAAATTAAATTTTTAGAATAAAAAACCGCTTACTGTGACATAACTATAATATTTAGACATGCTGTCGCGACACTTTTTGTAGATAATGATGAGTTCTGCAAAGTCCGTAGTAAATGATTTTGTTCTATCAACAATAGTTTTCGCAGCGCACGCGACGTAAGGAATTTTTCAGGTCATTTTTTTACACCTTGGGTTACATTATTGGAATTTTAGGAAAGATTCCTAATTATTTTTATAATATAATATAGCCTATGTTACTCGGGGATAATGTAGCTTTCCAGAGGTGAAAGAATTTTTGAAATCGGTTCAGTAGTTTCGGAGCCTATTCATTACAAATAAACAAACAAACAAATCTTTCCTCTTTATAATATTAGTATAGATGGCTACAAAATTGTAAATTAGGTGTGTATTAAGGTTCTTATGAATAATTTTGCATAGAACCTATGGCGTCGACTTCTAAGCTATCAATGGGTGGGTAACCTACGGCTACTAATAATAGTTATTTTTCTATTTGTACTTTTTGTTAAATGAATTGTCATCCGTCAGTCTGTTCGCCAGTACCACGCCAGTACAGTTATGTAGGTGTCCATTTCAAAATGTAGATTCGTATTGAGAAAGCCGAACAAGGAATTTCATCGTTACACTATTTCCAAATTACCTACATCCATAACCTTGAAGTCATCATTCTTGTCTTTAACTCAAATTTCATCATCATGATCACCACTATCAGCCTCTAATTGTCCTACTTCAACTGGCGTGAAAAGGCTTCTTCTCACATAATGGAGAAGGAATAGGCATCATTTATTTGCCATAGCATTCACCATCGTTGCTCAAGGCGGATTGGCGATTCCACACTTACAATGTAAAATTAACAAGTCCAGTGCCTTTAGCCAAACGCCACTTTAGCGCTTGTCTACCAAGAGAGTTGAAAACTAAATGTATAGTACGGGAATGACACTGACAAGTGTCAAAATTGACGTCAATTCCATATAATTTGATATTTCTACATGTAGACAATCGCTAAATAGCGTTTGGCTACAGCTGCTGGATTCCTCAAGTATCAGTAATACCTAATATGGAGGATGACAGGGTATGAGAACCAAAAATCGAATTAGTCCGTCACTTAGGTAATGAAAAAATATTACACACGTATTTTTATTTTTTATTTTGTTGTATAATAAATGAACTTAGATATGACGAATCAAAGTTTAATAAATCAATTTTGCTTGAACCTAGCTTCAATGAAGAGCTTTAGGACTGGCTCGCTCGTGCTGGTAAGGGACGCTGTGAAATCTATGCGGCCTTTCTCGAAGGGAAACACGTTGGGGAAGTTTTCTGTCGGCGCTGTTATGTTCCTTACAGCGTGATAACCCTGTGGACAAAGATCAGAACATATCAAATCAAATCACTTTTATTTGTTAACATAGGTGCATACAGATATAGGTCTTATAAACCAGATATATCCACCTCACTCAGGCGGGAGCAGCAATTCGATGATTTTCCCCCCTTAAAAAATATATACCAGATATATATCTATAGGAAACAAGGTGTTAGTCTAGAAGTCTGGCGGCCCGAAATAACTTGAAGTAAGAGTAGGAAGACGAAGAGGAAAAAATAATAGGTAGATATAATATGATACTAAATTTCGTTAGCAGAACTTACAGCAGGCAAGGGGCATACCAGACCCGAGTTCTTGATAGCACCGCCAATGAAGGGCTCCCTATTGACGAGGTCGCAAAACTTGTAGTGGCCCACGTACGTGGGCCGGTACTCATAGTTCAAGTACTGGCTGATTGTAAAATCTATCTGCAAGCAAAGTAAATAATAAATAATACACTGTTAAGATCAAAGACCACAATACCTTCTTAATATAAACGAATTTCAAAAATATCCAATAGACGCGGGAATCGAGTAGGGTCACCCCAACTAGTACACATTTTTTTCATATATATTTTAAAAAAATTAAAATATATTTTACCGTAATATTGTTAGTCCAGGTTTGCTTGTTGGTGCCCATAAAGTTGATGTAGTTTGCAGAATTCCTCCTGAACCGCCGAACGTATATTCTCACATTTGATGCGTATTCGGGGTTCGAGAATGTCACATTTGCCCTTTCAGGTATCACTTCCAAACTCTGCAAGTAATGAAGTAAACGCATTATTATGTCACTTTAAAAATATTTAAGTACCTATTATAACTTTCGTGAGAAATAATAGATTTAAATATTATGTTATACGGCTCACTCACGTAATTGACAAGGAATTATATTAAGATTTGACGATTTACATTCATATTTGACGAGGAATTTTTGAATGCACCGGTGTGAGACACAATAGAAAATACTTTTTTTTTTTACTTTTTTTACTTTTAAAAAAAAACGTTGCCCCACACTAGGATTTTCTCCTGTGTCGTGGGTGCGTTTACAAACATACAATATCACATACACATCACACCCAGACCCGAAACAACAATTTGTGGATCACACAAAGTGTTGTTCCGTGCGGGAATCGAACTCGCGACACGTTGCACGGCAGCCGGTTGCCCAGCCACCGCACCAACCGTGCAGTCAATACGTTGTGTCTCGCGTGGATCCACGTCTTCGGCACACGAAAAGTTAAACCCGATTGTATTATAATCTACATATCAAAATTTTATTTCAATAATTATATACTTACTTTAATTACTTGGATGCCAAGGATTAAACACGAAACAAATAGAATATTATGCGGAAACATGACTTCGACGAAAGAAAACTGTGGAATATGTAGTGTCCACAATAGCAGGTACATGCATATATACCTCTATAATTATGCACATGTCTTTCTATTTAGATAATTAATTATTTACCATATCACTATAGGTATCGAATTGCAGACTGCTGTGGAACTATTCTACCGACTTGATGTGTGTTGTTTATAGAATTTTAACTACGACATCTATCGGCTAAAAGCATAACTAACACTGAAATCCGATGACAGCGTCACTAGTGGACGATAGCTGAACTACTGTTCTATCGACTTGTGCGCTGTTCTACCATTTTTACCGACTTCATTTAAAAAAACGAATGAATTGCAGGTTGAGAATTGAGTATTTATTTCCTTATTTCTATTATCTATGTAAACTAGTACACACATTAGATACGTAGATACTAGAGGAAGCTAGTATGAAGTAACTACCTCTAATATAATTTTGATACAACTGAAATACATATTTTAAAAGCACCACTTATCAAAATAATCTAATAACTTTTACATAAAGAACAGTAACATAACAAAATAACTTACATTTTAAACTTCTTCAATTGGGATGATGACGGGGCGTATGAAAATTAAAAATCTATTTAGTCCGTAACTTACGTAACGAAAAAATATTAGACACGTATTTTTTTATTTAGTTGTATTCCAAAATAGTACCTAGATAAAAGTAATCAAAGTTTAGAAGTGGTGGCTAAAACGTCATTTCTACGTATAAAATGTACATAGAAGTGCCGTCACGCGACATTTCAAATCAATAACAATAGAAAGTATCGAGCTTGTCCAATCGATCGAACCTCCATAGGTTCACACAGGTCTGAATGAACTAAATCTAGAATTTAGGTTCTTCTATGGTAGCTAAGTTGAAATGGTAAACGTCTGTTTGTCCCGGAAAACCTAACGGGTTACCGGGGCTCCGGCTCGACGTGCAGGAGAAGGAACGGGGTGGTTTTTAGTCAGTAAGAGTCTGATACTCCTTCCCGCCTCACCCAGGCGGGAGCAGCCATTCGATGATTTTCCCCTTCTTAAAAAAAACGGGTATGTTTACCCTCGCAGCATACTTAACAATTTGCTTTCTGAAAATCAGCCTTTGTATCAAATAACATACCTTCTACAGCACCGTTTCCCATTCTTTGCAAATCATTACAGTTAAGGTGTCCCAATCTTCTATGTCACCGCTCTGCTTCTGTAGCAGCTGCCAACACTTTCTCTGACTTTAGAATATTCAACTTATACACACCATTACGTTCTATTTAGCGTCCGTACTCATGTCCGGCCCCAACAAATATATAACAATCTTGTTGATGTACTAAAAACAGAAACCAGTGAAACCAAATTCATAGCACAGATAAAAAAAAATGTTATTTGAAAAAGCTTACTACACAATTAATGAATACCTAAATGATAATTCAATAAACTCATTACCTACACATAGAAGTCAGACACAACAGGATCGGTTAGATCCGCACACATGAAAAATAAAATACCTACTACCAGACAGTGACATCCCAAAATGGGGCGGGTAGAAAGAAATTAATGAATTGATTGTAATTTTCTAAACCTTTTAATCGACCTTGAATATTGGTATGACTTGATATTACATGTAACATGACTTGATTATAGGTAATTATGTAAATATTTGACTTACTTATTTTAATAATTGCTTACTGGATGCTACATATGACAAGATGATTTACATTTTATTGTTTCTATTTATTTGAAAAATTGTTGACTTGATGCATCATCACCTTGACTTAATTTTATTTGATGTCACTTATTACTTAGACATATTTATTTTAATAATTATTGAAAATGTTAATTGTTATCAATTGAATTGAATTTTAAACTGTTGCATGAATGAAATTTTCCATAATTGGGTCCTAGCTTTAAGCCAATGTAGCTTCTTAAGAAACATTATGGAACGCAAATAAAGATATGAATATGATTTGATTTGTTTAAAAATATTTAGCTTTTTCCAAAACATAATGACTGTACACGATAAGATTTTGCGTATCGATAAATGTTAAAAATCTAGGGTAGGACGCAGTTAACATAATTTGTTTTGGCAAAACAGTTAAACCAACAAGTATACCAAATACATATTCGAACCAAACAACAAATTCATTGGTAGCAAATAATTAATTCTATCTCATTTCCTGTTGTTAAATCTGAATTTTGCAAAGTTATTCATTTCAATATAGATCAATAAATAGTATTTTAATGTAGCTACTATACCAAATACCTATTTAAAGATGAAAGTGTGAATGACGAATTTTGTTAAAATAGCAGAGAGACGCCTGTATATTACATATATTATGTATCTATAAGTCCCTGTGATATGTACAATAGTGGCTCGTAGCAGCGTTTTCCCACTATTAATCTTTATTGTATTCCGTAGAGAAATGGATGCTATGCGCTACGAACTACGCTCTACGAGAAAAGTATTCTGTGGAGAAAATGATGCTACGCGCTACGGGCTACGACGATACGAGCTAAAGTGCTACATTGCTACAAAATACGTTTTCAGTGCATAAAACGATGCCACGGGCTACAAACTATGCACTAGGTGTCACGTATTCTGTACAAAAAACAATGCTAAGCGCAATAAACTGCATGCTACGAACTACGCGATGTAGTACGAGATACGACTGTAGTATTTGTTTTAAATTAGGACTTATAGACTTTGGGCTAGGCATGTAGAGTTAAAAATTTGGATCTACATGACATGAACACTTCTTAATAGTGCGAATCAAATGATTTGTGCCGCCTTGGGTTAGGCGAGGCGAGAGGGAGTATCAGACTCTTACTGACTAAAAGGCCTCCTGCTCGTTAGGCTTTCCGTGACTCCGTGTTGGGCATTAGCCCTGCTGGGCCCCACTTGTGGTGGTCCGATGGCGACACGCCATACGTACGGGTCTGGTTCTGATCGGTTGGTGAGCTACCCTTGCTCGCCGTCCGCAAACCCGCACTTACGGTGACCGGAGATCGTCACGCGATATCTGACGCCCGGAGTGTCTCACACGACGGCTGGGGCGTGAGGAGATTATTTCCCTGACGTGCCCCGCCTCCTCCTTGGCTAGAATGACTGCTTTGCAGAAGGATCGCTCCGCACCATGGCCAACCAGAGCCGAACGCGAGAGGTCGCGGTCGTCGACCACATCCCTGAGGACACGGCGGTATGGGCCCACGCAGGGCACACCACCACCGTGTCCTCAGGGCGATTTTCAACGTCCTTAAGTCCGAAATCAACCCCAGAAACAAGGAAGTTGAAAGAAACTATTCCATAAAAGTCAATAATAAGATACTGACTGAATAAAGTCTATGTGTTTGAAGAAGAAATCAATTTTTTTTACAAAGTTACAGCAATTGTCAAATTATGTTAGAAAAATCCAGAACCGTACAGAGTTCTGACATGTTTCTTTTTAATATTTCTATTTAATTTAAATTCTTAATTAAATGAAATTCACAAATGTTTATTGAAACAATATAACCAAAATATTTTTTATATAAGGTGAGTAGGTGCTTACTTTTATATATTTTATTAATTGAATTAATATTCAAGTATAAAAATCCCGTTTATCTGCGGTTATTCTGGTTATATGTCGGCGGTATAGTAACAAAAGTATTATAACACCTAGACTGCCCTTAAGTTTATGAGTTTTCTTAGGCAAGTAAGTAGTAGGAAGCTTCCTAATTGGTTCGACTATGGACGTGTAGGTAATAGGTATGTTTGTTTCAGATTAGATATGTCTTTGGCACGAACATTAATCAGAAGTTCTAATAAATACTTTGCTTGCCATCCTAAGGTGAGTTGTTCTTGTTCTTTATTTACTTTATTGACAGGCAATCGAAATAAGGCGTGTTATATTATGTGCATTTACATTATATGAAGTATACATACAATTACACGTTGTATGTACTGTTTCGAGTTATCCTAATACGCTGCGCTATAATTAACATTTACGAAAGAAAGATGAAAGAAAGTCAATAAATTATTCGTCGTTAGGCATGACGCATCAAATACACAGACACAATGAGGGGAATATCATTAGAAAATGTTTAATTGCTAGAGGTTGAGTGACAGAGAGACTTTACTCTCATTTGGCTCCTTTGCCACTCTATCTTTCAAGAAAGTGGTGATACATCCTTGTCCATAACCGTGACTTTCATTGGACATAGCCCTAATAACTTAATGATAGTAATTTGTTGTAGCAATGTCTGATACAGTTGAAATTGAACGCGTCAACAAACGCCGAGTCGTTCCTCTGTGGGGCGAACGCCAACTTCCTGGAGGCGCAGTACTTGGACTGGGCCAAGTCTAAAGGATCAGTAGACTCCGTGAGTCAGTTTTTACGATCACAGTAATTCAAATATTTGAGATGTTTACTCGTATTAATAATGTTATGAAAAACGGTGTTTTCATGGTTGTATCTACTGTAGATCCTGGCTTACAGGAGTTGCAGCGGTTTTGGGAGGCTGTGGCGGGCTTGTCCCATTTAAAAAAAAATGTTATGAAAAATATACCTGTTTAATAAAGAGTTTTCGATTTTAGAGGTTTTCTGACTAATCGTCTACATTTTATTCTGATGACCCGAAACGGCACTAGCTATTTAACCATCTTTTGCAGTCTTGGGATGGATTCTACGACAGCCTTTGTGGTCCAGCTTTGAAAATAGAAGAAATGCAAGATGATTTTAGCCCTAAAACTGTCAGTAAGTAGAACAGGAACTTACGACCAAAATGAATTACTAATTTTAAACTAAAATCTTTTGATTAATGTTGATTTTTGGCATTGATCTATTGCATTTCTGTTATAAACCTAAATTGATTCGAAGACTAGGAACGTGTTTCAATTTGTATTATTTTCGACCGTATGATAATATTAGCAAATCTACCGATAAATTATCTAATAATTAATTTACAGAGTCGAAGTCAGGTTCCAAAGACAAAGAGGAAGAGTTTAGGACCAAAATTAAGCTCAATTTGGCAGTAGCTAGCTTGATCAGAGGTTACCAGGTGAGGATATTCTTTGGATACCTTTAGGGCTTTGAGTTGGTAAAGGGACAATTCCATTACAAGATTTACACAGTTCCACAGTGCTTGTTATTATTAGTAGGTATCAGTATCAGTTTTCTGTTGTCAACGTCAGGACAAAATTCACGTTTTAATTTTTACGTGTCGCCGAGAAAAAAACATGGGT